GACGGGCGGGAGCCGGGAGGGGGCTGCCGGCGCCGGCGGAGCCGAGGGCCGAGTGCGGGGGCCGTGTTTGCGTGGGGCAGCGCCCCGCGGGAGGGGCAGTGCCCTCGCGCCAGGTGACCGGGGGCAGGAAGTCCTGGATCTGGTTAATGATTCGCCTTGTTCCGGGAGTGGGGCGGGGCAAGAGCAGGCTGGAAGTGGCAGGCTGGAAGTGGCAGCCTTGAAGTGCTGCGCGAGGGCGGCCTGGGGAACCCTTTGGGGGGCTGGTCTTGACCCCCACCCCAGGAATGCGTGGCCTGCGGGTAGGGCCGGGCGCAGGCGAGCAGGGCTGACGTTGAAGGGCGGCAGCCCCAAACTAGCTCCGGGGGTGAGGGCCAGGCTGCGGTGGGGCCAGGCAGGGCCGAACCCTGTGGCCTTCCCCTCCCTGCAGGACAGGGATGCTCTCAGGGCTGGCGGCCATGGAGCTGAAGGTGTGGGTGGACGGCATCCAGCGTGTAGTCTGTGGGGTCTCAGAGCAGACCACCTGTCAGGAAGTGGTCATCGCACTAGCCCAAGCTATCGGTGAGTCCCTTTGGGCAGGGACAGGCCTAACAGGTGCACCTCGGGTGGAGCCTGGCCCTCTGGCCCCTTCTTCCCCCAAGGAGGGTGGGGCTGATTGCTGATCCCTCTTGCCCTCCCCCAACTCCTCAAGCCAGGTGGACAGAGAGTGGGGGCATGTAGGCTGACCTCTCTCCCCCTACCCCAGGCCAGACGGGCCGCTTTGTGCTCGTGCAGCGTCTTAGGGAGAAGGAACGACAGCTGCTGCCCCAGGAGTGTCCAGTGGGTGCGCAGGCTACCTGTGGACAGTTTGCCAGCGATGTCCAGTTTGTCCTGAGGCGGACAGGGCCCAGTCTCGCTGGGAGGCCCTCCTCAGACAGCTGCCCACCTCCTGAACGCTGCCCAATCCGCGCCAGCCTCCCCCCGAAGCCACGACCAGCACTGGGCCGTGAGCCCCACAAAACACTGACCTTCAGCCTGGCCTTCAGCCCTGTGCCGCCTGAGCCTGTGGCCCCCATAGCACCAATGCCAGGCTGCTGCGCAGACCTGCAGGGCCTGGAGCAAAGGGTGCAGAGGAACGCCGCCGAGCTGGGTCAGGAGGCCTTCTGGGAGCAGGAGCTGCGGCGGGAGCAGGCTCGGGAGCGAGAGGGGCAGGCGCGCCTGCAGGCACTGAGCGCAGCCACCGCCGAGCATGCCGCCCGGCTGCAGGCCCTGGATGCCCAGGCCCGCGCCCTGGAGGCTGAGCTACATCTGGCCGCAGAGGCCCCTGGGGCCCCCTCGCCCACAGCGTCTGCCGCAGAGCGCCTGCGCCAGGACCTGGCTGCCCAGGAGCGGCAGAGTGCGGAGGTGCAGGGCAGCCTGGCCCTGGTGAGCCGGGCTCTGGAGGCAGCTGAGCACGCCCTGCAGGTGAGCCCGCAGGACCCCACGCCCCCGCCAGTATCCCCGACACAGGTGGATTTGGGGGTTGGTCTTGGGGCCAGACTAGGGAGAACATGAGGTGTGGAGCCCCATGGCCATGCCCCTGAGGGTCCCATGTGCCCCAGGCCCAGGCGCAGGAGCTCGAGGAGCTGAACCGGGAGCTGCGCCAGTGTAACCTGCAGCAGTTCATCCAGCAGACTGGGGCTGCACTGCCGCCCCCCCGGCCGGACAGGGTCCCCCCTGGTGCACAGGTCAGAGGAGTTCTGGAGGGAGGCCAGTTCGGTGCAGGGCCTGGCCCAGCCCCAAGCTGACCTGCTCTCCCCACAGGATCTTCTGCCTCCAGCCAGAGAAGGGCCCCTCACAGGAGCCACCCGGAGTCCTGCCCTAGCGTCCAGCCTGAGCACAGAGAGTATGTCTGTCTCCCCGACTCTGGGTGGGACGAGGTCCTCCTGTGGCCCCCTCAGCCCCCTCAGCCTGTGTCCTCCCCACAGTTGCCCCCATGAGGCAGAACTCCTGGAGGTAGCAGCTCCGGCCCCAGAGTAGACACCCACTGCCAGCCCAGCCCCGGGCTCTGATGACACAAGCGAGGGCGGCCGAGGCCAGCCCAGCCTGGACGACAGAAGGAGAGTCGGCAGTCACAGAGGACTCCTTCCCCCATGCAGTGGGAAGCCCTGGTGCCCTGGGCCCGGGACAGAACCCCTCGGAGCCACGGGGTTTCTGCTGAGGGGGGCTGGGGGAGGCTGAAGACTTGTGCCCTGGGCCTTGCCGAGTCTGCTAAGCCCCCTGGAGAAGCATGGGACATGCCCAGCTCAGAACTCTCTAGTCCCCAAAGGCCATGGCTCCTTGTTGGGGACGGGGGATGCACGGACACCGTGTTCACCCCGTGTGTATGTGCCTGCATGTGGGAGGTATCCTTCACTGTGTGCACGTGTGCGCTGCCTCCCACCCCAACACTAAAACCACAATAAACTGCTCAAAGTAGCTTAAGTGTGTCCTGAGGCTGCACTGGGCAGGTCTGCAGGGTCTAGAACCTGAGGCCTCCACCCAGAGTCACTGGGGAATGCCTGGAGCTGGCCACTGCCAGGGCTCCTGAGAAGGGGGTCTCCCGGGGAGCAGTGGTCAGTTGGGTCCAAGGGTGGGGCTCCCAGGGCCTCACATTCCTGGCTGCTGTGCCACCCACCCCAGGGGCTCTCCTTGGCAGCCCGAGCCTGGGGTGAGAGCTGGACAGTCTGGGGCCTGGAGCAGCCTCAGCCCTGGCCTATGTGTCTGTCCAGACCCCTCTCCTGCCTGGCTCCCCTCCTCTGGCCTGTTCCTCCCCAGGAGCAGGAACTGCCGCCTCCTCTGGGGTGGCTCCTGGACTTGAAGACTCACGGACGTGCCAGACCCGCCTGTCAGGTTTCCTGAGTCTCACAGCTCACAGGGGCGGGTCTCCGGACTCCTGGGTCGGCCAGGCCCAGGGAGGTCTGCACAGGGGAGTTTTGCGGGCCCCATGAGGGTGTGGCCACCCTGCCTTCCGAAACCCCCCTCTGCTACCCTGGTGGATGAGAAGCCTCTGCTGCTGCCTACAGCCTTGAAATCAGGGCAGGGCAAGGTCCAAACACTGTCCTGGTCCTGGGGTGGGCCGCAGGCTCCCAGCTCCCAGGGCTGTGGCTGGGAGCAGAGATCTTTGTGATGGCCAGCAGCTGGGGGCGCCGAGGTTCGGGTGCAGCCATGGGTATTGGGGAACAGGGGATGGGGACATCCTAGATCATGAGGGTCTTTGTGCCAAGTTTAGGGGTGGGCAACTTTGTGATGGCCTCCACCTTCTCCTGGGGTGGCCCCTGAGCTAGGCCTGGTGCTCCCTACCTCCTTTGGGGCAGACCACAGGGGACATGGAGTCCTGAGCATGAGGAGCAAGGAGGACACCAAGGGGCAAGGCCACTAAGAGCGCGGCTTGTGGGGAGTAAGCAGGACTGGGCACTTTCTGCCTGAGACGGAGCGGGGACGGGGAGTGGCAGGACAGGCCAGGCAGCAGCAGGAGGCCTCCAAACCTGGTGTCAAGAGGAACCCGGCCCAGGTTTCCTCTCTGCAAAGCCCCCAGCTGGACCCCGCTCCTGTCTACGCTCCCGCCTGAGCCTGCTGCCCCACTCGCAGCAGACTGTCCTGGGGGCCTGGACTTGCCTGATGATGGCCCCACTCATGGCCAAGCACAGGGTCACAGGGGGTGCAGCCTAGAGTGCAAAGGCTGATGGGCCGTGCCCTAGGTGGGAGGGCTGGAGGCTGTGGGCAATCACTGCCAGGTCCAAGGGGCCTGCTCCCCTCACCCACAGCCCCCGCCTGTGCTCAGGAGAGTCAGATGTACCAGCATGTGGTCATCTCCCAAGCTGAGCACACAGGCCCGCAGGGGGCAAAGCCAGGGCCCATCCAGGGACCACCCTACACACACAGGGGACAGGACAGGACTAGCCCATGCCCTCCCCAGTGTCATGCACTTTCCCACCCCCCAAAGAGAAGGAGGCCCGGAGCTGGCAGATCTCGCACATCCCTGGTCTCCTGTGTCTGTTTTCAGGGAACACCTGTTCCTTCTGAAGCCACCACCAGGGACCTGTCCCTGGTCTGCTGCTGGCTCTGAGGAAGCTCATGAGCCCTCTTCTCCACCTTGGACAGAGTCTTCAGGCAGCCGCTGCACTCTGGGGTGGGGAAGCGGGTAGAACCTTCCTCCTCTGGCTGTTCCAGGTGGACAAAATCCCACACCCCCGGAAAAGTTGCCAGAAGTGCTTGAGATCACTAAGCAAAGCTTCGAGTTGCTAAAAAGTTTACTTCTGAGTTTTAAACTCATTGAAAACAATGACATGAGATGTGCTGAGGTGAGGAAAGGCCCAGCTCCCCACAGATGTCCAGTCCATGGCAGAGCAGGACCAAGCCAGGCCAGGCCAACTCCCCACACAAGCCAAGGCTGGACCCTGCCCGGTGTAAATACAGGCCAAGGCAGTATCATCACCAGCGCTCTGCAGGGCCAGGCTGTGTTGGGGGAGGACGCTGGAGCCCCTACTGACCTCAGAGTTCTTGCTCACCCCCAGCACAGAATGCCCTCCAGGGCTGGCTGAGAACACCGGGGTCCACTGGGGGTCGCCGATGCTAAGTCATTGCCCCGTGGCAGCAAATCAGCTCTGCTGGTCCTCAACCGGAAGGCCACCCACAGCATCCCCATCACCTGCAGCACCCGGCCTGGCCAAGCTTCCTGGGTGTGACAATAAGCCACTGTGACCGTTAGGACAGAGTCCCTCCAAAGGCAAGTCCAAGTGCAGGCCAAGGCCTCGACTAAGTCCACCTCTCTCAGCTCCAGCCATCAACCCCCACTGCCCGGGACAGGGACGGGGCCTGCCACAAGCGTGGCGCCGGCAGGCCTGGAGGCTGCTCTAACCCCAGCAGCAAAGCCAGGCCCGGCAGATAAGCAGGGGAACATCGCTGGACACCACAAACAGTCCTCGGCGTCCTGACTCCCTTAGTGGCCTCGCTGAAGTGGCAGAAATGCACAGAAAAGCCAAATCTGCCACTCTCTTCCTTAAGAAAGTTTCCAGAAGGGACCCGCAGGATGCTGGTCCTGGAAGCTCCCGTCCTGATGGCCGAGAGTCTGACCACAAGACCCGTGCCTGCCCAGGGCTGCTTGGCGACATCCAGAAGGCCGTCCCCGGAACTCTGCACAGCCTGGCACCCTGAGACACACAAGGAAAAGAAAGTTCCCTCCAAGAGGGCATCTGGCCCACCCCAGCCCCATCGTGCGGAGAGCAGCGAAGCCCCCTGAATGTCCCCGCTTTCCCCCCCGCACCCCGCCGCTGGGCGCAGACAGGCAGATCCTGTCCATAGGGGCGCCCTCGCCCCTCCCACTCCCCCGCCTTGGCGCGCACCCTCCGACCCGGTGTGGCCGCCCCCTGCCCGTCAGAGCAGGGTCACAGAGGGGCCGGGGCGGTCGCGCTGCCCAGGGACAGATCAGCCGCTGTCACACGCACAGTGGGTCCGGAGCAGCGCAGTGTGCGGTGGGCAGTGGCTGCCCTGCGCCTGGAGGGACCGCCGGGGGGGCGGAGGGGTCGTCCCCCACCCCCGACCTCTCCCTCCCCTCCAACTTGGGCGTCCCAGCCCCCGCCCGCCAGCCTGCTCCCCTCGCGCGTCACCTGCGACCCCCACGCGGGGCCGTGGCCGATCCTCGGCCCAACTTCGGCAGCGACCGCGGCCCCCTCGCGCCCCCGCCTGCCC